TTTGGGTTTTTACCAAGACTGATGCAGCAGGTCTTTGATAGATTTAATTCTAGTTTAGCACTTCATTGACTCATAGCAGGGTTGCAACCGGCCGGGCCGGGCCGAGATTATTTTTTCTCCGGCCCGGCCCGGCCCGGCCCGGCCGGTTCGGCCGGTTCGGGAAATAATTATTTTATGAAAAAAATGATTTTATGAAAAATAGGGATTATCCCGCAATTCGCGACAAAGAAAGGAGAAAAATCGGTTGATAAACGCAAAAAATCGTCAAAAAAAACAAAACAAACCCCCGTAAATCGACACGGGTTGCTAAACAATGCGCGCCTCGTCATATCGGAGCATCGTTGCAAATAAAAATGGCGCGCGTTCAAATATTAATTAATTGCCGGCCGGCCGGGCCGGGCCGGGCCCTGGTTTTTTTCCCTCGGGCCGGCCCGCCGGCCAGCCCGTCAGATTGCAACCCTGACTCATAGATTTTATTGATTGATTCTTGCATAGATCCTCCCATGTCTCCTTTTTTAATTGGGCAGTAAATTTTTAGGTCGTCAGCAAACTGTTTTACTTGCACTGGCGATGAAATTTCTGCGCTCAGGCTATTAACATAGACACAAAACAAGACTGGTGACAACACCCCACCTTGAGGAACTCCGCATAATACTTGCTTAGGCGAAGAAATATAATTATTGATTTTTACCCTGAATGTTCTGTTACTAAGAAATGAATTTATCCATTCTATAAGATATGAATTTAATCCTATAGAAGCCAGCTTTTCAAGTAATAAATTATGAGGTTATCAAAAGCCTTACTGAAATCAAAATAAATTATGTATGTCTACCTGATCCCCTCTTTCAAGACTAGAAGTCCATTCATTTAAAGATTCTAACAGACAGGAAGTTGTTGATCTACCTACTCGAAAGCCGTGTTGGCTGTCACTCCAAAATTGAATATTTGCTAGATGGTCATTGATTCTTTTCAGGATACGCGTTTCGTAAACTCTACAAATAACGGAAGTGAGACTAATAGGCCTGAATTGGCTTGGACTAGAAGGAGTTTCTACTTTTTTTATAGGAATAACAATCGCCTCGTTCCATTTTTTCCCGGGTTTTCCTGACATCATTGAGTAATTACAGAGTTGTGCTATTGGGCTAGCTATATATATGGATGTCAATTTTAAAAAACTAGAAGGAATATCGTCTGGGGTTAGTGTATTATTACTCTTAATTTTCTTAAAGGTGGGGGGACAGGAGATTTTACGGGGGATTTTTGGGGCCAGAGTATGCATTCTACCGTGACGGTGTACAACGCTTAATGTCACTCTGCGTACAGCTGTCGTCCTCGCCTTTATGTATGCAATCGGGTGACCGCTTTCTCTTTGCCCGTGTAGCTCAGTCGGTAGCGGCGCCGCACCCTCAATCCTCGTCCCACACGTTCAACTCCTCGAGAGGCATATTTAAACGAAATTTCGAGAACATCATTTTTTTCATGTCCCCCCACCTTTAAGTAACTTATAAATTTCATCTTCAGATAGCCATATCATTTCCTGGATATTTTTTGTGGTATTATTGGCTTGGAACGTTGGACTAGGATTTGTAAATAGTGATTCAAAATACTCCGATAGACATTCAGATTTCTCATAGTCTTCACTCAATACTATTCCGGATAAGTTTTTGAAGTCTGGTGTCTCGCCAGATTTCCTCTTTAACACAAATTTAGAAAACTTAGAAAACCGACTGACACCTTTTTTCTGAAGAATTTGCAATTCAACATTGCCTTTATATTTTTGCAATTTTTTCCTAAATTGTTTTGTAATCAGGGCGTATTGTTCAAAGTGAGAATCACTTCTAGTTAATTTCGTTTTTTCCCAAAGGTAGTCTACAAGTTTACTGAACGATATCAGGTATTGGGGGAGATTTCCATATTCAGAATTTACTCTAATCCAAGGAACAGTGCATTCAAAAACATGATTAAGGTAGGAGAGGAAATTATCATATTTGTCATTAATGTCTAAACTTGAACCAAAGATTTGTGTCGTCAACTCTATGTAACAATTGTTGGAGCATTTGCCTATTTACGTTTTTATAATCAGGGATAGAGATGTACACAGGAGTTGGCTTGTGAATAAGGTGAAGTTGGAAAGATATTTTTGAATGATCGCTGAACCCTATTGGACTGGAAACCACAACATTAGACAGTGACGTATTCGAAAAAAGTAGATCAAGAATGTTTGGGCCTCTAGTAGGTTGCTTTACGTATTGAGTAAGATTATTTGTTACGCAAAAATCAATAACCGCTCTGGCTAGCTGTAGTGGTTGTGTTGGTTTGGGAGGATCTGAGCACCAATCAATTTCTTTACAATTAAAATCTCCTAATACAATAATATTCTTATGATCGATGAAAGTAGATATAATATTAAAAAGTTGTTTTGAATCTCTAGTGTTACAGGAAGGCGTTCTATAGACATTTATCAGTTTTATGGGGTCTATTCCTACGTCAACTTCAAGAATTAAAATTTCATAGGCATTTTTTAGAGACTCAGAATAAATGCTTCTACATTTCAAGTAAGGTTTAACAAAAACTGCTACACCACCACCATCACGGTTTACTCTAAATAAAGTATACTTGTCGCTGCCTAAGCAAGAAGAGAACATAGACATAGGACTATTTGAAGTGAGCCAAGTCTCCTGAACCATTGTTACTTAGAATTGAAGGGCCTATCTGTCCCCATCCCTGTTTCCCATTCCATCCATGGGATCATCGACTAATTGTGGTGGGGTAACAATGAAATTTGTTGGAGGGGGAAATGAATTAACACGTGATCTAGACAAAAACCTATCTCGTTGTGCTTTACTGTACTCGACACGTTGCTCTTTCGTCAGGGATGGGCGGACAAAGACTGGTCCAGATGGAAAATACTTGAGCCGTGGTGCTCTTGCCAAAACCGTTTTCTGATCGAAAGACGTCGCAAACACTACTTTCATCATCCGGGATCTTTCAGCTTTCTTTCCAAGACGATAAAATGATACTGGGGGTGCTCCAATGTCCAGATAGTTCAAAATTTTTGACATACACGACTGGTCCCAGTACCAAGCCTCTCTTTCTGATCTACCATATTCAGGAATACCAGTTACAATAATTGACCGTTTTCTCTCCTTTTCTTCAGCCGACACAACAGATCCACCTGGAGAAGAAGTATTCTCACCTCCGTTTACATTTAAACCGGTCATCCCATTCTTCTTCATATCCTCAATTTTCGCATTAAGTTCCGAAATTTGATTCTCCAGATGATTCATCTTCTCCATATGTTTCTCCAACTCCTTATCAATAGTCCCAAATTTCTTATCGTATAAGAACAAAGCAATAGAGATCGCTTTTTGAAAGACTTCTTGGACCTTCCCATGAGATAGGGCTGCCACTAATCTCATTACCAACTCATCATCATCTTCTCCCTCCATTTTGGGCTTCGTTCCAATAGGTTCGGCCTCACAAGACTTTGAGCGACGTTTCGACATTTCCCGTGAAAAAACTAGGGAATAAGGAACTATGGAATAACTAGGGAATAAGTATTTCAGAATTTCAGAAGTTTTAAGTTCCAAAAAATTTTCTAAATTGTGTTTTGTGTTTTTTTCATAAAAATATTCAAACCACAAAACAAAACTAGTATATTTTTTCAAACATCAAAAAAAGTGATTTCATTTATTACGAATATTTTTTGAAAAACATGTCTATTTTCCCCCATAATTTTCTTCCAGACTCCATTTTTTGAGAGGTATTTATAAATGTCTGGTTTTTCACGAAAATGTACATTTGTAAACAAATTTTTGATAACAAAAAAATGATTAAGATTTTGCCAATTATTGATTTATCGATTTCGACACTCAGTTTTTGGTCGAATTTTTTATTTTTCATTGTTTTGGCTCGAAAATGGATGAGGTCTAATTTCACAAATTACGCCATGATTTTTCTGATTTTTTTGAATTTAATTTTTCTAATTATCCATATTTTACGAATTTCAAGGTTCTCTATTTTGGATAAATGTAAAGCTACTGAATTTATTTCGATGATTTATTTCGATTTATTGATTTCTTTTTTACATGATTTCTCAAAAAATTGTTCTACAATTTTATGCATTTTTATGTTGATTTTTCGAATATTGATCCTTAAAAGTAAAAATTGGAGAAAATCGATAAATCGAGGAGTTTTTGGGCTCTCTGTGATTTTTCTGGTGATTTTGGGATGTGCAATATTCTATGGATTCAATTATCTGAGTGTTGAAATTCGAAATTTAAAAGGAAAGAAAGAGTGAGTTCCTGAAATTCTGGAAGTTTAGAGATTTAAAATTTTAGAATTTTAGAGTTTTAGAATTTCTAAATTCCTGAATTTCTAAATTCCTGAATTTCTAAATTCCTGAATTTCTAAATTTCTGAATTTCTGAATTTCTGAATTTCTGAATTTCTAAATTTCTGAATTTCTGAATTTCTGAATTTCTGAATTTCTGAATTTCTGAATTTCTGAATTTCTGAATTTCTGAATTTCTGAATTTCTGAATTTCTGAATTTCTGAATTTCTGAATTTCTGAATTTCTGAATTTCTGAATTTCTGAATTTCTAAATTTCTGAATTTCTGAATTTCTGAATTTCTGAATTTCTGAATTTCTGAATTTTTTGCGATTTCTGAATTTCTGAATTTTTTGCGATTTCTGAATTTCTGAATTTTTTGCGATTTCTGAATTTCTGAATTTTTTGCGATTTCTGAATTTCTGAATTTTTTGCGATTTCTGAATTTCTGAATTTTTTGCGATTTCTGAATTTCTGAATTTTTTGCGATTTCTGAATTTCTGAATTTTTTGCGATTTCTGAATTTCTGAATTTTTTGCGATTTCTGAATTTCTGAATTTTTTGCGATTTCTTACAATTCGAGATTTTCAAAGTTTTAGAATTTTGAAATTTTAGAATTTTGAAAATTTAGAATTTTAGATTTTCAGAATTTTAGAATTTTGGTATTTGTGAATTTTATAATTTCATAATCAAAAATAATTTTTTAATCAAAAATCATTTTCAGTTGCCATGGACAAACAAAATTCGTTAACTATTATACCTACCGTATTCCAAAAATCAATGAATTTTATTTTGAAAAATTGCCTCATTTTGTGTTTTTCCTAATTATTTTGATTTTCACAAATTATCTTTTTATTTATTTATCGAAATTGAAAAACCGAAAAGTTTTGGACAAAAAAGTAATAGATCGAACATTTATCGTAATTTTTTATGGTGTCATTTTTGGGATTTACGAGTTTTTGGAGATTACAGTAATCCTGATATATTATTTTGAGAAGGGAAATAAAAATTTGAGGTGAGTTGGGCCATATCTCATTAGAATTTTAGAACTTTTGCATTTCTGAGTTTCTGAATTTTTGACCTCTGAACTTCAGAAATTTAGTGTTTTAGAATTTTTTAAAACTCCATTTTTTCAGATGCATTGCTCAAAAACTTCAAATTTTCATTCCGATATTTTACATCTTTAACTTATTTTTTCAAAGCACATTTCCAGTTTTTCTATCTATTGAACACCGTCAAACTGTTATCCGGACATTTTTGAGGGAAATAAGAAATTGGTAAACATTCTGAAATTCTGAAGTTCTAAAGTTCAAAAATGATTTCCAGCACATCATCTCTGTCTCTCCTCATTGGTCCCGTGCTAGCAGTTCTCAACGGATTCGAGTAATGCAATTGGAATGATTCTAACAATTGCTTAGGCTGAGCAATCTTCGAAATTACATTTTCCAATAAATTCTTGAGATCAGATGAACAATTTCAGGGAAATAATCACAGATATTATATTTTACTTTGAAAATAATTTTCACTGTTTGAAAAAAACATTACATGACTTATAATGATTTAAAGAAGTATGACACAATCACAACAATTAAATGCGGAGGCGTTTTTGAAATTTCATATTGTGATAAACATTTTATCAGTTAACACCATTTGAAAATCTTTCAGATGAACTAAGATACATTGGGTCAAAGTTGAGCAATTTTTTTTACTAAATTATGAAACGAAAACAATGCATCAGTTTTCGTTATAATCATGTAGAATTGCTCCATTTAGAACACTTCTCAATTCAATGATAGAGAAACAAGTGGCATAATATACTCGGGGAATCATATTATAATAAAAAATCTCGATGCGCAGAACTTTCTCTTCGGAATCCTTGATTCGAAAATACCAAATAATTGCCAATTGGGAATCAAATGCAGGTCCCCAAATATTGGACAACTCCACTTGCTCATTAAAAAGTTTCAAATCGAACCGCAACCTCTCAAAGTTTGAAGAACTTATATAAGCCTGTAATATTTTTTAATCATAAAAATTTAAATTTTAAATTCACAAACCTTTCTCAAAAAATCCAAATCACCAGCAGTGATTGAATCAACTTTTAAATCAATTGATGAAAAATGACAGATGTCTTCTACGTTTAGATTTAGCAAATGAAAGTCGCATTTCAATGTGTTTGCTTTTTTCCATTGCTCAGTTTTAGCAATTTCATCAATTTCGATTTCCATTTCTGGATCAAATGAACAAAAATCGAGAGTCTTCAGAGTTTCCGAATCAGCAAACGGTAAAATTGACATTATATGAGATTTATTATATGTTTTTATACTCAATTCTCTGGTTTTGATTTTTCTACCGGATACATTAAGCATATTGCTCAGCTTAAATGGTAGAGTATAAAGTGATGAATCGTTTTGGAGTTGAAAATCATCAAATTCAAAATGCAACCGATTCAAATTGGATTTTTGAAATTTCAAAACCCATTCCAGATCTCGAATAGCAACATCCACAATATTCGAATTTCCCAGATTTGTTATTTTTTCATTGAAACTTCGGGAATTTTCAGATTCCGAATATTCAATGGAATGAAAAGAACGATGGGAATCCTTGGGTTCCACCAAGAACAACGTTATCTCGTTTTCGTCCTTTTTAGAAATAACTTCAATATTTGCGAATTTTGAATCCGGCAATTTCGAATCATTCAAATCGTCAATAAAATCTCGAAATTTTCGACAAACTTGGCGAAGTTTCAGACTGGAAAAATGCGTTTGAAAATTGAAGGACTTTCAAGAATAAAAAACCTACACAGATCGAAAATCCGAGAACCAAATGATATTTTCCATGACCAGCTCTGGCATTTCCATGATTGATGACATTTTCGATAAAAAGAGAGAAAAAAAAATCAATATTGCAAAGTGGGAAAATGACGAACTGAGAGAGGTATATTTGTGTTTTTTAGTCGGTCCATATGTGTGATTCCTCTGCGTCTCCAAGAATCCCCCACTATTTTTTATTTTTTGCCGTCGCCTCGTTTCTTTTTTTCGTGTTGAGCTCAGGAAAACAAAGTTAGGGAAAAAAAATCATAGACAAAGTATATTTTAATCATAGACAAAGTATATTTAGAAAGAAAAAAATGACTGAAAACACTACATGGCGTATAATTCATTGAGGAAAGTTGGCACAAATCACAGAAAAGAAATGCGAAGGCGTTTTTGAAAGTTTATCGTGAATATGCGTCGCTTCGACCCTTCAATTAGAGGGAACCCTTCTAGTTTTCCGGCCAGTTTTTTTTCGAAATTTTGCATCAAAAAATTCGACGAAGCTTCGTTCAAAATTCATGGAAATCTGCCGATTTCACCAAAATTTTGCAAGATTTTCGTCGAAAAAAAGAGTTTCAATAAATTTCTGTTAAATTGTGAAGTTCCCGGAATATTTTCCACTGGAAAAGTACGGAAATTTTTTGATTTCAAAACACATTTGAAGGGGGCCCTTTTCACAGAGAGCCCTTCTATTCCAGGGGACCTTCTATATTTCTAAACCCCTTACGGAGGGCCCTTCTATTACATGGATCCTTCAATTGAAGGGGCCCTTTTAATACAGGTTTTACGGTATTTGGCATAACTGTCAACTTTGAGATAGTTTATCTCGATCAGATACCAGAAAGTGATAAACTAAAAACATTTTACTGATGTTATGATAAACATTTTTTCTGTTGGTCAATTTTTGATATTTTTCACAGGAAAGGGGATAAGATTGAAGTAAAAATGATATGAAAATCGTTTATTTTTCCCCCGAATTGATCAGAAGTACCCTTCAAGAAAACGGGAGGAGCGGAGCGACAAACCGGTAACAAAAACTAGATCAATTCGCGCCGAAGACGCTCCAGTCAGCTGATTGGAGACAGATGACTCTTTGATTAATATATAACCAAATAACTTCAAAATAAATTTATTAGACCATAACAACAGAAAGTTTCGTTGAAACCGTTTCCATGCGGTTAACCGTCCGTTTTCCAAAAATGAAACTTCGATAAGGTGAATGTATAAAAAGCATGGTTACTGTAGAACAAATTCCATGAGTTGATCCAGTTGCCATTGCTAAATTGTTAAACCCTTGATTATAATAACCAGATAATGTTGCAAATGTTGAGTAGAAAATTGGAAAAATGAAAAGATTCAATGGAATCATAACTTGTATAAAAAGAGCAAGAAGTAAGACTTTTTGAAGATTAAATGTCCGTTTCGACATTCTTCTTGCCTTGACTTGCTTCAAAATTTTGTAATAAATGTAGAAGAAGAAAAATAAAATTTCAGTACAAATATCAATTACTATAATTCCTACCACTGTTGAGCAATACGTGATATTCAAACTTAGAATGAAGGATGGAGGGTTTTCGATATATTCTGGAATACAGGGAACCAGTTTTCTTGCCTCTAATAGAATGGCACTTTGATTGCCAGGGTCATAAAATGGGGGAATCATATAGAGAATAGCATAAAGGTAGTGGAGAAATAGCCATGGTTTTCTGGCTTTGAACCAGAAGTCGTGGGGTTTTATGAATAGAACATTGAAGCGGTATTCGAACATGGAGAGGATGGAGACGGAGGTTACTGTAAGAAAGAGGAATTCAGAAATTCAGAAATTCGTAAGTCCAGAAATTCAGATATTCAGAAATTCGTAAGTTCAGATATTCAGAAATTCGTAAGTTCAGAAATTCAGAAATTCAGAAATTCAGAAATTCAGAAATTCAGAAATTCAGAAATTCAGAAATTCAGAAATTCAGAAATTCAGAAATTCAGAAATTCAGAAATTCAGAAATTCAGAAATTCAGAAATTCAGAAATTCAGAAATTCAGAAATTCAGAAATTCAGAAACTTCAAGAAATTCAGAAATTCAGAAACTTCAAGAAATTCAGAAATTCAGAAATTCAGAAATTCAGAAACTTCAAGAAATTCAGAAATTCAGAAACTTCAAGAAATTCAGAAATTCAGAAATTCAGAAATACAGGTATTTTGTTATAAAAGGTTTTCTTGAAGTTTTTTTTTTAAATTTCACATTTCCAAAACTCACAAGCAATCAAAGTAAGCATTAAATAAAATTGTGTAGCTGTACTAATCCCAATAAACCGAAAAACGCCCAAAGTAATCCCTCCCATCGTTGGCCACATAACATAAGGGATCACAAATAAACTCAATGAATAATCCAATAAAATAGTCCATAAATGTAAATTCAACAAACTCAATTTTACAGTTTTCATAGAGCTCGGCGTCTTGAACAGAATACAGTATACCCCAAGAATGTGTACGGGGGTGGAGAATACAGTAAGAATATGCCCAAATGTGCTTAGAAAATTGGGTGAGGTGAAAAAGTTGGTGTTACACGTGAAGTTTTCAGTCATGCGTAATATTTTGAGGGGGTAATTTTTAAATGGAAAAAAATTGAGTTGGGTGGGGATAATGGAATAATTCAGCTGCTTTTTTTGGATTGGTGGTTGATGACGTGGCAGAAGGTTTCTGAATTTTCAACCAAAAAATTCAGAATTCAGAATTTGTCAGAGAAATTCAAAAACCAGAAGACATTGCTATTTTCCAATAATTTTAGGGGAAAACTCAGATTTGTAATTATGCTTTACTCGGAAGAAAACATTTTAGAAGATATAAGGTTATAAAAATGATTTTTAGAATAGAAAACTGCCGCTTTTTTTAAACTCGAAAGGGCTTTAGAGGGAATTAAAGGACTGAAAAACGGTTCATTTGGATCAAAACTTGTATTTGAATTTTAAAATACTTTTGACAATTTTTTTCTAAAAAATTAGTTTGAAACAATTTTTCTACTAGATCCTGTGTTAAGAAAGTAGATCAAACTATGACTTGGTTGATCTTGTGAAAAATGAAATTATTGTGTTTTTTTTATTTATTTTTAGATAGCTACTATAGAAAATAGGATTTAAAAAAATAAAATATGGGAGGTACATTTACGTTTTTTGATCACAAAAAAGTTAGAAAGAAATTTCTGAATATGAATGTTTTGAATCAAAAATTGCTTCTTTTTTTTGGAGAGCCACAAAATTTTGAAAATTGGAATTTAAAAAATGGCCTTGACCCCCGTGAAAATCTGATAAATCGGGGGCGAATTTGTTCATACAAGCTGATGAAAAGTGGAAAAAATCAGTTTCAGTTTTCAGAGTTTCAAAAGTCTACGAATTCAACAATTTTCCTAGACCCAAAAACTTCGAATTGCGAACAAGATCCATCCAGTGAGGTACATACAGTACCGGACAAAAAGAAATCAACTTTTAGTTTTACGAGGGTATCTCGAAAACTATGAGAGCTAGGACTCTGAAATTTTGTACGTATGTTTTTGAAAGGCTCAGAAATACTCCAAAAAAAAATATCAAGTCCGCAGACACCATATCAGACGCGCAATTGCAAAAATTGAGAAAAAATGGAATTTCGCTTAACAGGCAACAGTTTCATTAAACATTACAAAAAAACAAAAATCACTTAAAAATAAAGCGGGAAGAAAATGAAAATAGTTTAATACTTGGTTGGGTATCCTTTGTTGTCAATCACGGCCTGGCAGCGTCGAGGCATGCTATCAATCAGAGCATCAATTGTCGACTGTGGGATCTGCGACCAAGCATCTTGAAGTTGAACGAATTTCTGGTCCGCGTTGGAGGCAAATTTTCCTTTGAGGCGTCTCTCCAGCTCCTCCCAGAGTGGTTCGATAATATTCAAGTCGGGACTTTGGCTTGGCCAAGGCAGAACGTTCACATGACGCCGATTGAACCAATTCCGAACATGCAAGGACATATGTTTTGGGTCGTTGTCCTGCTGATAAGTGAACGACCGACCGATGGACTGACGAGCAAATGGTCTCATATGATTCTCCAAGATCGATTCATATTGGAATCTATCCATTAGACCCGAAATGCGGACTAGAGGTCCCATACCGTACGCCGAAAAACATCCCCAAACACAGATCGATCCTCCACCATGTTTCATGGTTGGCGTTTGGTACTGGGGTGAGTACCTGGTGCCTACCGACGTCTGATCCACGTGACACCATCACTTCCGAATAAATTGTACTTGGATTCGTCAGACCAGAGTACAGATTTCCACTCAGCGCGTCCCCAACCAACATGAGCCTTTGCCCAGTCAACACGGATTTTTCTGTTTTTGGCATTGATGAATGGTATTCTTGGCTGGTCTTCTGAGCCAGTCGACGTCTGACAGTTCTGACGTGAGGTACGGGAGTCATTAGACCATCCACGATCGCTGAAATTTCCCCAGCGCTCAATCTTGGATTCGTTCTCGAGGTCCTCACTATATTCCGATCGGTGAGATGATTGGTTTTCCGTGGTCTTCCCGGAGATTTTCGAATGACAACGCCTTTTCGCAGCTGAAACACGAATTTTACAATAAATAAACATGATTCCCTAACCTGATATCTCTTATAAATCCTATTAATGGATGATTTTGCAAGGTTGAATTGAAGAGCCAGATCCTTGCGCTTCAGACCCATCTGGATGCCCTGAACGACCGCTTCTTGGACCGCCAAAGTAGACGTTTTGTTGTTATGTTTTCTACCCATCTATAGGAACAAAACTCATTACAAACAAACCGAAAAAAATTGAAAAAAAAACAAAAAAAAAGAAAACTCTGAAAAACTGAAAAATTCGAAAATATGATTTTTTTAGCAATTGCGCGTCTGATATGGTGTCTGCGGACTTGATATTTTTCTGGAATATTTCTGAGCCTTTCAAAAACATACATACAAAATTTCAGAGTCCTAGCTCTCATAGTTTTTGAGATACCCTCGTAAAACTAAAAGTTGATTTCTTTTTGTCCGGTACTGTATGTTTCCATTCTTTAGAAAGTCTTCGAAAAAAAAAATTTGGAAAAATTTCGGAACAATTTCTGATATATTTTTTGAAACTTGGCAATGTTTAGTCTGAAAAATGTTTTCTTTTTCGATTTTGTCTTGATCAGAGAGGAAAATTGCCATAAATTTATTAGAAATTGGTAAAAATTCAAAAGAAAAGATTGACGATTTGCAGGTTACGGTAGTTTTCGTTTTGGGACTTGTGATCATCGACGGCCACCGTCGTTTACTTTTTGACTTTTGTAGCTAACAAATCTCGGATGCTCATCGGCGACCAGGAATGAACACAAAACTGTATATAGGTCTGAACTTCCAAAAAAATTGAAAATTCAAAAATTTCAGATAATGTCCCGAGATGTCACGAGACAATGAATGGATTCCAGAAGATTTGGTGAACTTGATTGTTTTGATTTTTCATGTGTTTTTTCTCTTGATATTTTTTGTCTTCGGTGTCTGTTGTCGGTTTTCTCGGTTTTTTGGTTCCGGCTTCTCGGTTTTCTTTTGTGTTTCTTAAATTTGACATCTTCAACTTGAGCTCTTCGGAAACAAATTTTTTTCAGAATTTTATCGAAAGGGGACCAGGAAAATTTTTTACAGAAATCCTGGAATAAAATATTTTGAGAAATTTTGGCTCCGACGTCACTTCGAAACCAGTCAGTTTCACGGTTTCGAACTGAGTTGTTTAGCAGTGACTGGTTTCGAAATGACTGGTTTCGAAGTGACGCGGAGCCGAAATTTTTAAACGTTTTTGAAACTTTCTGGTTTTAAAAATTGAATAAACTGAACATTAAAATCCTGTGAAATAGACATTCTTGATATATTAATAAATTGAAATTCATCCGATAGTTGCTCTCCATACAGAAGTCATGAAATTCAATCCCATTGCTCTTAAATTTTCCTTGGACGCTATATACGATAATGATACAGTAACGGGAATAAACGGTAGAATCAATAATGCAGAAGTTAAGTTTACTTGCCATACATAGTTTTTCGAAGAAACGTCAGATATAATCAAAGCGTAGAGATAAATAGTAATGTGAATCTGGAAAAATTTTTAAAAAATTAATTTCGAATTCATGGAAATCACCGTTTGTATTGTATAGATTGGCGCAAACTGGTATAGGATATTGGCTCTCGATTTTTTCGCAATTTTTCCCACCAGTTTAAATAGATGAATATAAAAACAACCTGTGGAAAATGACATGAGAAAAATGATGATATTATATGTGTAGTTCAAAATTTGATATTCCATATCTAGCTGATAATTCTCTTTGAATGGTAACTCGCATTTGTCTGAAGTTAATTGTATTCAGTTCAACGATATTTAGATAATTCTGAACTCACAAGTAATATAGCAGTAATGAGATAGAACAATGTAACCTACAACAATTATAATTTTCAAATTAAATCTGAAAATCGGCAAGTTGTATTTAATCGATTCAAAAAGTTTTAACTCTGTAATAATCCATTTATAGCTTTTGAAATAAACGAGGATCATTCTTTGAGCAGCTGCCAGAAATGAAAAAACGGTAACACTTGCAAATAGAACATTTTGAAAAATAGCGAAAAATTCAAATTCAATACATACTCTCACTGCAACTAAAACAACAAAAACTCTTTGATCGGAGCTTATTTCTCCGATTGCGTGTAGTAAGAAAACGAAATCTTCCGCAATAAGATAGAGAAGTGAGATATAGTATAATTGTAAAAATATTGGTGCATGGTGTTCTTGAAATTCGCGCTGTTCAGAAAAATTTAAAGTTTTACGATGCTCGTAAAAACGCAAAAAGATAAATAAGAGGTTTCCAATAAATACAGTAATCAAATTGTAAATTTCGCGAGATTTCATTAACGTATTTTTATGAAATGTTATATTTTTCGAATGATCAAAGGTGACGTTTTCCATAAAATTAACTTCAGTGGAGTTTTCAAAAATCATGGTTTCGTTATTCATGAAATGAGTTTTGTTTACAAAACTAACTACTTTCTGGCTATAACACTTGCAGGTGAAAAAATACAGAAATGAAAGATTCAAAAACTTGATGGAAAGAATTTTGTAAATTGGAAGTTCTTGATTTTGGAATTTTTGATTTCTGTATTTTTCACCTGCACGTTTTATAGCCAAAAACAAGTTCAGTTTTGTAAGCAAAACTCATTTTCAAACCAGAGTCATGCTTTTCCAAAACGCTACTGGCCTTGATTTTATGAGCATGGCCATTTACTATCATACAACCTACGACACCATGCCAAAAAGTACATACTTCAGGTTTTTCGAAGCATACAACTTGATGACTGTTATTATTGGAGACCTTTTATTTATCTTTTTGTCCATTTACGATCGTCGTAAGACTTTAACGTCTTCTGAGCAACGCGAATTTCAAGAACACCATGCGCCAATATTTTCACAATTCTACTATATCTCACTTATCTATCTTATCACTGAAAATTTTTGTTATTTAATCTCGTTCTTTGGATTTTACAGTATGTGAAAGTAACTATTGAACTCGTGGCTCTCAATCTTTTTCAAAATGTATTCTTCGCAAGTGTTATCGTTTTTTCATTTTTGGCCGCAGCTCAATCCTCGTTTACTTTTCAAGTATTAAATGGATCATTACGGGGTAAAAATACATCGAATCGATTGAATATAACTTTTTGCCGATTTTCAGGTTTCGTTTGAAAATTGTAATTGTTGTGAATTACATTTTTCTAGCTCATTACTGCTATATTACTTGTGAGCTCAGAATTATCTAAACAGTACGGTATTCTACCGTGTTTTCTCTTTTAAATTCCTCTTTCCAAGTCTAAAGGAGAGAAATCTCCCCCGCTCACACGTGCGAGAGGTGTGGACTACTGTATCTGCGCGCGAAACTGTGTGCGCGCCAAAACGCGTCTCCTCTCTCTCGCCAATTATCATGTTTTCTTCAGTCTTCGCTGGAGGTTGATCACGATTGGTGACTCCTCGTTTTAGTGTTGTACTCTGGTTACAAAGGTTTTAAAGAGTTTTATTGAGAAAATCAATAAATATTGTTTTATTAGAGTACAGTGTGTTTTGCTGTCTTCTAGTTTTCAGGTTACATTGGTTTTTGAGTGTTTAAGTTACATTGGTTTTTGAGTGAGGGTTTCTAGGTTTTTGAGTGCTAGATTAGGACTTTCTAATAGTCTTTCTCTGCGTTTCTTTGGTTACATTGGTTTTTGAGTGAATAGTGTTTCCTTAGTTTTTCAAATACATTACTAAACAACGTTGAAATGAATACAACAAATTTCAGACATATGCTACTTCTGGATCACTTGTAAGTCTGAGACTATCAAGATAATGTTAAAATGGAAAAAAAAATATCAGACCATTTCAAATAACCAGGATTTCTGAATCAGCTATTTAAATTACACATATAATATAGTACTTTTTCTCATGGCATTTTCGACAGGTTGTTTTTATATCCATATATTTAAACTAGTGGGAAAAATTGCGAAAAAATCAAGAGCCAATATTTTGTACCAGTTTGCGCCGATCTATTCTTTACAAACGGTAATTTCCAGAAGTTTGAATTTAAGAACGTTTTTCTTTTCCAGATTCACATTACTGTTTATCTCTACTCTGTGATTATGTCGTACTTTTATTGGACAAATCAAATTTCTTTGACAATACAAGTTGTTAATATATTTTCCACACAATTGGTTTTGCCTTTTATTCCAATTATTGTATCATTATCGTATATAGCTTCAAAGGAAAATTTAAGAGCAATAGGATGGACTTTTATGAGTTCTGTGTGGGCAGCAACTATCGGATGAATGAGCAGCTTAAACTTTTTTCGATTAATTTTAAAATTTTCTTTTTGACATACAATAATTTTTATATGGTTTTCCAAACTTTTTGAACTGCAATTCTATAACCTACAAAAATTGAATTTTACCCACCAATTTCTCAAAACTCAAAACAAGAACACAGGTATGAAAATCCTATTTATAAATTTGTACTGGAGCCAAAAATTCTAGGCGACACGGCGATTAATTTTGGAAATCGAGGTTTCATGATAGAATTGAGTTCCCTGATAAGATTTGAAGCAGTCAGATTACTGTAGTTTTGAGGGGAAATTATAATTTTTGTTCAAAATTCTCTGCATTTTTATTTGGCGTGCTATCTTTGGCGTGGAATTTTCGGCTTGGATTGGCGTGGAATGACCTAGAAGAGAGGAAATTGAGAGAAAAAGTGATATCCAGAGCCTTAATCCCTTACTATGTCGGCACACGAACAAATTAATTTCTTTTGAACTTTTTGAATTTTGCTTTTTCTCTATGCACAAGAAAAGCGCCAGCAATAACCTTTCTACGTTTTTCACCATTTGTTTGGCGTGGGCGATACCTTCAGCGCCTAAATTTCACGTTATTTTACTAGTTTTAAACATACGAGTTAGTTTAATTACACGTAGATTTTTCCGTTGTTTGCTTGAGTTGTTGCTTTCAAGATTTTTTAAAACTGTGTGGATCAAATTCCAAAGATTTACAAGTGCTTGGTTTCTTTTTCCTTTTTTTATAAACAAACCGATGAATAATATGTCTCCAATAATCACAGTCATCAAGTTGTATGCTTCGAAAAACCTGGAGTATGTACTTTTAGGTACCGTTCTCAAGTTTGAATTATAGCAAGTGGCCATGCTCATAAGATCAAGGCCAGTAGCGTTTTCGAAAAGCATGACTTTGGTTTGAAAAGGATTTTTGCTTACGAAACTAGAGATTTTTAGCTATAACACTTGAAGTTGAAATCAAAACATCAAAATCAAAAACTTTCAATACCGAAATTTCTTCCATCACGATCTTGAATTTTTGATTTCTATATTTTCCACCTGGAAGTGTTGTAGCCAGAAAGTAGTTTTACAAACAAATCTTATTTTATTAACAAAACTATGGTTTTCGAAAACACTACTAATGTTAGTTTTATTGAAAACGCCAATTATAATGATTCGATCATGAGAAAGTTTCGTGAAATTACATTCTTCAAGATTTTTGAAATATACAATTTGATTACTGTATTCATTGGTGACCTTTTATTTATCTTTTTGTCCATTTACGCTCGTCGTAAAACTATAAGTTCTTTTGAACAGCGCGAATTTCAAGAACACCATGCACCAATATTCTCACAATTGTACTATATCTCTCTTCTCTATCTTATCGCTGAAAATTTCGTATTTTTGCTGCAAGCAATTGGAGAAATAAGCTCCAATGAATCAGTTTTTACTTTTTTATTTTCAGCGAGGATGTTTATCGATGTCGACTTTTTCCGTGTTTTTCAAAATGTTTTATTCGCAAGTGTTACCGTTTTTTCATTTCTGGCAGCTGCTCAAAGAATGATCCTCGTTTATTTCAAAAGCAATAAATGGATTATCACAGAGTTTGAAATGATTCGAATTGGTTTAATATGTCGATTTTGCAATTTTTCAGATTTAATTTGAAAATTATAATTTTTGTCATCTACTTTTTTCTAGCCCATTACTGCTGGATTATTTGTAAGTCTAAAAATATTACCGTAAAACCTCTAATAGAACGACACCCGGATGTTTATCAGGATATCAGCAACATTTTACTGGTTAACCACTTTTTGATATCTTTCACAGAAAATGAGATATATACGCTCAAAGTGGACGATCCGGGTGTCGTTCTATTAGAGGTTTTACGGTATATCTAATTAAAGATGAAATGAATGCAGTGAATTTCAGACAAATGCGAGTTAGACTCAGCTGAGGTTCACAAATCAATTTTGAAATATCAAACTTTAAATTACACATATAATATAATAATTTTTCTCATGTCATTTTCCACAGGTTGTTTTTATATTCATCTATTTAAATTAGTGGGGAAAATTGCGAAAAAATCAAGAGCCAATATCCTATACCAGTTTGTGCCGATCTATACAGTACAAACGGTGATTTCCATGAATTCGAAATTCGAAATTAATTTTTTAAAAATTTTTCCAGATTCACATTACTGTTTATCTCTCCGCTTTGATTATATCTGACGTTTCTTCGAAAGATCATGTATGGAGAGTGAATTTAATTTCTGCGGAATTCATTTTGCCTTTTATTCCTGTTATTGTATCATTATCGTATATAGCGTCCAAAGAAAATTTAAGAGCAATGGGATTGAACTTTATGACTTCTGTTTTGAGATCAACTATCGGATAAATGCATTCTTTCGAGATTGGTTTTAAAACTTTAAATTACAGGGTGGCCGATAATGATAGGACGTTTTTTTTTGAGAGCTCCTTGGCCCGGCGCCAAAGAATAAATTTGAAAACTTTTGAAACTAATAAAAAGTAGGGACCCTCTATGAGCAGTGATTTATATCATTTGGTATCATTTTGTTTTTTGTTCAGAATTATGAAGACTTCTCCACACCAACCCATGATCTTGAGATGGGGTGCACGTGTTGATGTGGCTAGAAGACTTGGAGTTTCTTCATCAGGTGTCCGAAATGTTTTTGAAAATATCCAAAAGGATCAGAGGAACCTACTAAAACAAAAATTAAGACCACCATTAACTTTGAACATTCACCAGACTCGGGGGATCTCAAACGTCAAATTGAGCAAAAAAATGGGTTTAGCCTTGGTATTGCATGGTCCAGGGTTCAAAAAATCGGAAAATAGGATTTAAACACTTGCAGTTACCGTATCTACCGCAAACTGTTCCTTTCTTATACATCCGGTGCCTGCAGACGCGAAAAATGCAAAAAACCATTTTCACATCTCCACCTGCGGCGGGTGCCAGACGAGATCTAGGGTGACGTAATGAGTTTCCCTGATGAAACTCATCCGAACCGTCGGGATCAGGGACAATTGTTACCAAAATATGACAACGAATCTCCTGAACGTATTTTATCTTCAAATTGCCTTTCCGTAAAAATTTCAAAGTTTGGGATAAAATCACGGCAACCAATACTAATTTTTTGGTTTTTGGTGAAAATCAGCTCGCAGGTCTACCGAATGACAGTTTTGATGCATAATTTGTTGTCCTGGGCCACTCAGCCGTTTGTTGGACATATTTAAAACCATCTGTAAGACTCAGCACCGTCTTGTAGATCGAAATCCACAATTGCGGTCTTAGACGCTCATTTTCCTAGAAAACTCGGCTACGATTGGGGGCCCTCTAACTTCACGGATTTCAGTCCGATGGACTTTAATGTATGGAATCTTTTGAAGAACAAGATCTCAGGAATCTCCTTCCGTTTTTTTCGGACTTTCTGTAAAGTCCATTTCAAAAGTTCTAGGGCGACTTTGACGTCAACTACAGTCGCCGCACAGCCAAATTTTTTATCATGCGTTTGGAGGCTTCTGTCAAAGCTCGTGGTTCTAATCATGACTACTTGTTATAAAACTAAAATACTTACATATTTTGAATATTTTGATAAAGTATTACAGTTAGAAAACGTTTTTCTAAAAAATGGGAGACGTTTAGAAACGTCCTATCATTATCGGCCACCCTGTATAATAATTCTTTCAAATTTCGAGTGACGTTGTCACTGAAATTCACTTCATGTGATTTATCAAAAATCATGATTTTGTTTATAAAAATAGTTATGCTTTCAAAAACTAACTACTTTCTGGCTACAACACTTGCATGTGAAAAATGTAGAAATTAATATTTTTATCAGAATTTTGAAAAATTCTTTAAAATTAATATATTTTTTGAAGCTGCAGTATGCATTAATTAGTATCGTGTCTCCTAATGTCACTTCACTCCTTCAACATTATACATTAATTTTCCTATAATTTTCAATTACAAAATTTCTTCCATCAAGGTTTCAAATATTCGATTTCCGTATTTTCCACCTGCAAGTGTAATAGCAGAAAATCGTTAGTTTTATAAACAAAACTCATTTCTTAAGCAAAACTATGATTTTCGAAGACTCTACGGAATTTGATTGTATTGAAAACGTCACTTATGATAATTCAAACAACTTAGAGTCTTCTAAAAGTACATTTATAAAGTTTTATGAAATTTACAATTTGATTACTGTATTTATTGGGAATCTCTTATTCATCTTTTTGTTTATATACAATCGCCGTAAAACTGCAAATTCTTCTGAACAGCGCGAATTTCAAGAACACCATGCACCAATATTTTCACAATTATACTATATCACACTTCTCTATCTTATAAGTGAAAACTTTTGTTTTTTACTATACGCAATTGGAGAAATCAGCTCCAATGAAAAAGTTTGCGCTATTTTGATTGCATTGAAAATATCTATGGAATCTGGATTTTTCGATGTTTTTCAAAATGTTTTATTCGCAAGTGTCACCGTTTTTTCATTTTTGGCAGCTACTCAGAGAATGATCCTTGTTTATTTTTCAAGCATTAAATGGATCATTACGGGGTGAAATCAAATTAGGATTGATTGAATATAACTTTTGCCGAATTTCAGGTTTAATTTGAAAATTATAATTTTTGTCGTCTACTTTTTTCTGGCTCATTACTGCTGGATTACTTGTAAGTTAAAAAATATCGGATTATCGTTAAAGTATACAATTAATTTCAGACCAATGCGAGATACCATCATGCGTGAATTACCAATCAATTTTGAAATATCAGATTTTAAATTACACATATAATATCATCATTTTTCTCATGGCATTTTCCACAGGTTGTTTTTATATCCATATATTTAAACTAGTGGGGAAAATTGCGAAAAAATCAAGAGCCAATATTTTATACCAGTTTGTGCCGATCTATACAGTACAAACGGTAATTTAAGGATTTCCAAACATAAATAATATCAATTTTCCCAGATTCACATTACTGCTTATCTCTACGCTTTGCTAATGTCTGACATTTTTTCGACAAATCTTGTATCGTTGGTTAATGATCTTTCAACAGTCTTGATTTTACCGTTTATTCCCGTTATTGTATCTTTATCGTATATAGCTTCGAAGGAAAATTTGAGAGCAATGGGATTGAATTTTATGAGTTCTGTGTTGGCAGCGACTATAGGATAAATCTTTTTTGGAGATAGATTTGAACAATTTAAAGTGATAATAAATGCTCTCAACAGTAATGATAAATGGCGTTGTAAATGAATTTAATTTCTGTAGAGTTTTAAAACTCATTGTTTTTTATGAAACGAAATTCTTGTTGGCTATATGAACCTTAATTAGCTGGACCCATTAGGGTGACTACTTTGGTTCAGGTGGGCTTTAGCGGTTAAATCCTGAACAAAAACATCTTATTTGGGCTAATTTCATTTATTTTAACACTGATATGTAGATCAGAAGTGGAAGGTAAAGAAAGTTCAACCCTAACAGCTATAACACTTGCAGGGGAGATTTCAAAAATCAAATATTCAAACTATCTTTATGAAAAAATTTTGTATTTGAAATTTTTTGGAAATTGACACACAGTCGAAAGAGTTGAGACATGAGGCCTGTTGAATTTTCCGCATTCCGTAGCTCCAAAACTTCAAATGTGTCTCGATTTCCAAGAGATTTCAATTATGAAATTTTTTAAATTAAGGTTTTGAATTTTTGATTTCTGTATTTTCCACCTGCAAGTGTTGTAGCTAGAAAGTAGTTTTACAAACAAATCTTATTTTATTAACAAAACTATGGTTTTCGAAAACACTACTGACTTTAGTTTTATTAAAAACGTTACTTATAATGATTCGATCATGAGAAAGTTACGTGAAAATACATTCTTCAAGATTTTTGAAATATACTATTTGATTACTGTATTCATTGACCTTTTATTTATCTTTTTGTCCATTTACGATCGTCGTAAAACTATAAGTTCTTCTGAACAACGCGAATTTCAAGAACACCAAGCATCAATTTTCTCACAATTGTACTATATCTCACTTCTCTATCTTATTATCCTTGTCAGAGAAAAAAAGGCTGAGTCGAAGTGTATGCGATGTTTGTAAACAAATATCTGAAAGCGTAAACAACCGGAAACAGTTGAAACGAGTGCGACAGTAACCCGGCGGGAAAATGTTAAATTTACCTGTTTTTTAGTTTTTCTCATATTTTGCAGCAAATTTCGTCGAATATGGTTTTTTTT